TATTATGCCAGATCTTGATCTTGATCTCATCATGAAGGTATGAACCTAGTTAATGTGGAACTGTTTCATTTGTATTATTCACCAATTAACAAGATGCTGCAGTATCAGCTGATAGGCAATTTAGTTTGTACTTGTTCCTTGAAGTAGCATTTCCATCTTCCAGAATTTCTTCATAGTTCAACCTTTTTTTTTTTTTTTTTTTTTTTGTTGTTGCAGGCAGCAGTACTAAAAGGACGGGAAACCAATGTTGTTACAGATTTGATACTCAAGGTATGTAACCGCAATTCGTCCAAGTTAATGCCTTACATTACATCATATAAAGATACTAACTCTCTTGGTCTATATACTTTCCGTTTGAGCTAAAAAGAGTTTGGAATTTTTTGCTAATAAAATTTTGCAGGTTTTGGGACTGGAAGCTTGTGCTGACACCGTGGTAGGGGACGAAATGACCAGAGGTATATCTGGTGGACAGAAAAAGCGAGTCACGACAGGTAGAGCTATCATAGAAATTGTAATTCCAAACCCTGAATGTCTCACAGGATAATTAGGCTGATTCTTATAAATGAAAAATGGCCAACAATTACAGGGGAGATGCTAGTTGGACCAGAAAGAGTACTTTTTATGGATGAGATATCAACTGGCCTGGACAGTTCAACAACATTTCAAATAGTGAATTCACTGCGACAATACGTCCACATCCTCAACGGAACTGCATTAATCTCCCTCCTGCAGCCAGCACCAGAGACTTATGCTCTCTTTGATGATATAATTCTCCTCTCGGATGGCTACATTGTGTATCAAGGCCCCTGTGAGAATGTGCTTGAGTTCTTTGAGTACATGGGCTTCAAATGTCCAGAGAGGAAAGGAATCGCTGATTTCCTACAAGAAGTAACTTAACTTACTCATACAGTTAATGACATATATCTCCTCCCACTAATTCAACTTTCATTTTTGTTTTGAATTCAATGATAGGTGACATCAAGGAAAGATCAAGAGCAATATTGGGTTCATAGAGATAAGCCTTATGGCTTTGTAACAACCAAAGAATTTTCTGAAGCAATTAAGTCATTTCACATTGGTCAAAAACTTGGTGCTGAGCTTGCTATTCCATTTAACAAGTCTGAAGGCCACCCTGCAGCTTTAGCAACTAAGAAGAATGGTGTTAGCAAGAAGGAACTGTTCAAAGCTTGTATGGACAGACAAATTTTGCTTATGAACAGGAATAAGTTTGTCTACGTTTTCAAATTGGCGCAGGTACAAGTAGTATATAACACGTATAGCTCATCTTTGATTTTAATTTCAGCAAATGAAGTGCTTTTGTTGTCTATGGTTTCAGCTTATTGTAGCTGCTTTTGTAACAACGACGTTGTTCCTACGTACTGAGATGCACCGGAGCACAGTAGAAGATGGTGGAATTTATATGGGAGCTTTATTCTTTACACTGCTCTCAATTATGTTCAACGGGTTTGCAGAGCTTCATATGACTGTTGAGAGACTTCCCGTGTTCTTCAAGCAAAGGGACCATCTGTTCTATCCTGCTTGGGCATACTCTTTACCGCAATGGGTGATAAGGATCCCTATGACCTTTGTGGAAGTCTTCATTTGGATGATCATCACTTACTACACTATAGGTTATGATCCAAGCATCGGAAGGTGATCGAAAAGTGAAAGATATTCTAATTACTTTTGAAAATTTAGTCCCAGATCAGATTACGTATTGGTTATGAAATCTAATTAACAAAATTCACTAACTTGTAACAGGTTTTTCAAACAGTTCCTTGTACTACTGTGTATTAGTCAGATGGCAAATGGACTGTTTCGATTGATAGGAGCATTAGGAAGGAACATAACTGTTGCAAACACATTTGGGTTTGTTGCTTTCCTCGTCATTCTTGGCCTGGGTGGCTTTATCTTATCACGAGGTAAATCTATCTTTGGTACAATCTCATATCATATAATTTAAGGTTTGATGTTAAAGAATATGTCTTTGTTTGATTCAGAGGATATGAACAAATGGACGTTGTGGGGATATTATCTCTCACCATTCACGTACGGACTGAATGCAATGGCTGTCAATGAATTTCTAGGAGAAAGTTGGAGCCATGTACGTAAGGATCTCTTTTGTGAATTTTTTTTTGTTTCGGAAAATGTGATCTAATTAATTTGCTTGAGAAAATTTGTATTACAGGTTCCTGCCAACTCAACAGAAGCATTAGGAGTTCTAGTCTTGAAGTCTCGAGGGATATTCCCGGAAGCACGTTGGTACTGGATTGGAGTGGCAGCTTTGATTGGATTTATTCTTCTGTTCAATATCCTTTTCAATTTGGCACTTCAATATCTTGATCGTGAGAACCAACCTAGACCCTTTTCCGTTTTCAAACACAATTTTTTTTTTTTTTTTTTTTGTTGGTAAAACTGTTTTCAAACACAATTGAATGTTATGTTTTGATAATGGGAATCAATTTCCTTTCCTGCATGCACAGCACTTGAGGAGAACCAGGCAGCAGTTTCCAATGAGGCTTTGGCTGCAACAGAAGGTAGCAAAAATGCAGTGAATCGGACCAAGCAGTGCGGAATGGTTCTTCCTTTTGAACCCCTTTCATTTACGTTTGATGAAATTAGATATGCTGTTGACATGCCACAGGAAACGAAAGATCAAGGCATAACCGATGACCGGCATGAAATTCTGAAGGGTGTTAGTGGTACTTTTAGGCCCGGGGTCCTTACGGCTCTAATGGGTGTTAGTGGTGCTGGAAAAACTACTCTGCTGGATGTTTTGGCAGGAAGAAAAACAGGTGGATACATTGAGGGAAGCATCACCTTATCTGGATATCCAAAAAAGCAAGACACATTTGCTCGGGTAACAGGATATTGTGAGCAAACAGACATACACTCTCCTCATGTTACAGTTTATGAGTCTTTGGTTTACTCTACATGGCTCCGATTACCTCCAGAGGTCAATCTCCAGAACAGAAGGATGTTCATTGAGGAAGTAATGGAGCTTGTGGAGTTGACAACGATACGTGACGCACTTGTTGGATTGCCTGGAGTGAATGGTCTCTCAACTGAGCAGCGCAAACGGCTAACGATTGCGGTAGAGCTTGTTGCCAACCCATCCATCATATTTATGGATGAGCCGACCTCTGGCCTTGATGCCAGGGCAGCAGCAATTGTAATGAGAACAGTGAGGAATACAGTGGACACTGGAAGAACTGTAGTCTGCACCATCCACCAGCCAAGCATTGACATATTCGATGCTTTTGATGAGGTGATCATAAGATCCCTTTTTATGCTTTAGGAGTATTTGGATACTATGCTATATTAGTGTTAGAAGAACTTAAATTTTTTTTGATTTCCTGTTGCAGATGCTGCTTTTGAAACAGGGAGGAGAAGAAATATATGTTGGCCCTCTAGGCCGCCATTCTTCCAAGTTGATCGAATACTTTGAGGTTAGGCTTATGCATACATGAAATATATTTATGCCATATTTTTTGCTCAACTTCTATTACTAACATAGATGAGTTATATTTAATCAATTAATTAGGGGATTAGAGGAGTTCCTAAAATAAAGGATGGTTACAATCCTGCAACTTGGATGTTGGAGGTTACTTCTGCAGCACAAGAAGCAGCTCTAGGGGTTAATTTCGCAGACATATACAAGAATTCAGAAATGTACAGGTAAGAGATCCATAAAAACTCAGATAATAATATTGCTAAGTAGACATCTGTTTCAGCTACTAATAATATATGTGTTAATGTTTAGGCGAAACAAGGCCTTGATCAAGGAACTAAGTACCCCTACACCAGATTCAAAAGACTTGCACTTTCCGACACAATATTCTCAGTCTTTCTTTACACAGTGTCTAGCTTGCCTATGGAAGCAACATGTATCATACTGGCGAAACCCACAATACAGTGCAGTGAGACTTTTTTACACAGCTATGATGGCTTTGCTATTTGGAACAATTTTCTGGGATCTTGGCTCCAAAAGGTAATAATGTAACATACCTGTCAATCTCCTGGTTCTTAATTTGGCTAATTAAAAATTTTCCTGAAGTGCAGGCAACGGCAAAGAGATCTTTTACAAGCAATGGGTTCTATGTATGCTGCTGTTCTCTTCATTGGGATACAAAATTCCTTATCAGTGCAGCCAGTTGTAGGTACTGAGAGGATGGTCTTTTACAGAGAAAGGGCTGCTGGAATGTACTCGGCTTTTCCATTTGCCTTTGGAGAGGTTTGTTCACTAACTTGCAGCAAGGTTGTTATTCCAAAAGGAATCTCATGACCAAATTCCATTGTTGTATTGCAGGCTGTCATTGAAATCCCATACACTTTGATCCAGACTATCATATACGGGGTTATAGTATATAGCATGGTTGGATTTGATTGGACGGTCAGCAAGTTCTTTTGGTATTTCTTCTTCATGTATTTCACCTTCTTATACTTCACCTTCCATGGCATGATGATTGTGGCCATTACTCCCAATAACACCATCTCTGCTGTAGTTTCATCCGCCTTCTTTCCATTATGGAACATTATTTCAGGATTTATCATTCCCAAAACAGTAAGTGCCCCATGTTGCAAAAGGTGCTGTGACTAGAAACCCATTTTCTGTTTTTCTGTTTGTGTTTGTGTAAAAAAAAATTTCTTTTTTTTGAAGTGTACTCACATTTTTGTTTGCTGGTTACAGAGAATTCCAATATGGTGGAGATGGTTCTATTGGATAAGCCCTACCTCTTGGAGCTTGTACGGATTGTTTTCTTCACAGTTTGGGGGCATAACGGACACACTTGATTCTGGTGAAACTGTGGATGATTTTATGAGGAATTATTTTGGGTATAGACATGACTTTCTAGATGTTGTTGCAATTGTGCTAGTTGGGTATTCAGTGGTATTTTGTTTCATCTTTGCCTTAGGAATTAAAACAGTGAACTACCAAAAGAGATGAAATTAACATCATACATGTACTTTTAAAGAAAAAATATGATATGCAAGTTCCATTTTTTATACTTTTGATCTCTGACTTGACTTCCATGTATAAAATTGGTAGTATTATACATCACATAGAATAGAATGTTCAAAAGAATACAGCACAGATAAGTTGACTGAAAAAAAATGTCGCCTGAAAAAATATAGAAAATTCCAAAATTTAGAACCCCTCCAGTGGAACAATGCCAAAGCAAGGGCTGCCTCATGTGAAAAACATATATAAAGTAGCATTCTAGTTATTGATGTTTTTTTTTTCATACCTCAGAAGATAACATCTTTGCTATCAGATAGCAGAATTGAATAGTTGTAACCACAATGCCCCTGCCTTCAAGTATCTTTTGGCCCACTGGTTTGGGAAGGACCAGCTCTCTCCAACAACACATCATAAAGTTGCTTCCCATTCTGATCGCCACATGACAGCAGATATCAGATAATTTTACCACTTTTCAATCTGTATGTGTGCGTGTGTGTTAGGTTCAGTGTGTTCTGGCAAGATTTTGACCAAAACTATACCCTAACTAACCTTCCCTGCCCCCTTAAGTCCCATGCAATCTGAGAAAAAAAATCCTAAGAGCTTCACCATGTAAATGTAAAAGTTCAAAATAAATCCCTCTTCCTAAATCTCATCCCAAGCTTTCATCAGTTGCTAGCAGAATTCCATAGACTCGAACCCCACAAACAGATAAAAGCTTGAAACTTGGATACTTACAAATATCACAGGAAAGAAGTGAACTTGTCCTTCAGGCTTTGTTTGCCTCTCCTTAAAATACACCAGAATAGGGAAATTTGGCCACCAAAGCTCCCAATTCACAAACGTTGAGTATCTATATTCGAAAAATAAGTTAACTGACTTACCTTTTAATGAAATCCAATGGGTTCATAGAGCATACTTACTTCCAACGATTTTTTCCACCCACGAAGACATTTTCACCTGAATTCTGAAGCTGCTCTCCTACTTTTACTTCCTACAGAAACAAAAATCACAGAGAAAAAGGTAAACTAAATCTACAGGCTGAGTGAACATACATTAAAAGGAATTGAAGTATATTACTAGAAATACCACACTTCTTAAGAGGGTTAAATGAACAAACCAGTGCCTCGTCATCAAAGACAAATCTGACTCTAGTAGTCTGGAAGAAGAACACCAAAAGAAAAAAGTTCAGCTACTTCTCCAAATTTATATATTAAATAAAAAAAAGGCAACATGTCATGTCTAAGTTCTATTATCAAGCTTGTACTGCAACCATTTCCAGCACTGTTACCTGAAACAATAGGAGTAATCCAAGGAGACCGATGGGCGCAGCTGGTAAAAGATTATTTGTATAAGCTAACCCACCAGATAGACCTGTTTCAACCAACATTTTTGACATCATGTACATAGTGTTTCTAGATAATGCAATCTTTGTTTAAACAATGGATAGTTGACAGGCGGCTATTTGATACAAGGTCCTCAAAGAAAGAGTCTAACCAGCTATAATCATTACAAAATGTCAATATGAAAAAAAAATGAGTACGATATGAGTACGATGCATCATGCGTGTAGTGTTATAACTTGGAAATTTTAGGAGTTGGCTTCTGATACTAAAAACTCCAAAGCTTAAGATGACCAAATAAAAAAGGAAGGCAGTTGCTCAGCCTTCAATGCTGCTCAAACATGCTATAAATTTCAAGCAGGGCTGAAAAAACAACCTACTAAGACTAACAATTAATCCCCGTGAACTGGGATAAGAAAGTTCTGCACGCATAACTTCAACTGTGGTTTACATAAATTAGAATAATCAATACACAAACTTCAGCATCTACCTAGTAGAACAATTGGAATTCGGTAATCTGGCTCGGGTATCACAGTCTGTGTGCTCTTGACTTTCCTTCCAAACTGTCACAGATGAAACTAACATCAAGAGTGGCGTCCAGAATCTGGTCATTAACAAAACCTATCAAACCAAGAATCAAAATTCTTGCCTCCTGAGGCAATATTGGGTACAAATCCTTATTTTCATAACCTTAAGAGTGTAACATCTCTCATATTGCAAAAACATATGCAACAAATATGGATGTGGGTAAAATAATTATAGAAGGATTAAGTGAATAACCACTGAGGCCACAACAAGGGAGCCACCACCACTGGTGCCACTATTTCTTGTTCTCAGTAAACCTTGGTTATACTTCACTTTGTCATAATTTGGGCTCCTGAAGCTCCTCAAAAATCCACCCACTTCTCTATCTGTGTGAAATACTCTCATAATCAGTTCAATATATGCATCTCTCACTTGCCAAATTAATATACAGAACTACACACTTGTACTTCACTGAATTATCTGTGCACAATTGAAGATAGAAACCAACACTTAAAAAAAAATGAAAGTACCGAACTTACTTTGCAGAGACAGAAAGCAAGGAGCTGCCAAGAGAGTGCTCGCCATTTTTTTGGGTTCGTTTTTTATTTTCTATAAACGACTGCTTTCTATTTCTGAAGTGCAGGAAATGCTTCGAAACTGTTTGAAAAGTGAATTTACTGTAAGGACCTCTTTTCTTTCAAAGCAGCAGTGTCATTTGACCAAGGGCATTGTGGTCATTGAAATGTGTGTTTGCATAAGGGGGACCTTATCCTGTTTTACCTGTATTGGTTACCACCACCGATTGCATACCTTCTTCGCACTCTTCAGTCTAAGCTTCGCTCTTCAATAAAGTTGATAACTTTCTTATTGCAAGAGAAAGAAAATTTTGAAAACCTCTTTGAATGGCAAGCTCTCTTTCTTTCACACCTGTTTGTTCCTTCAAATCCACAAACAAACCAAGTACCCTCTCTCTCTCTCTCTCTCTCAACGACTTTAGTTGATTGTTCTCTATTTGTTTTTGTTAATTCAATTTGATTTATCTACAGGGGTATTGATAGATAATTCAATTGGTGGGAAGGTTCTTCGAGCGAATGAAGTATTTCAGAACTCAAAAGCTGCAAACTTTCAGTCTTGGGAGGTCAAGGTGAGACATTTTAGGTTAACCATTTATCGAAATTTTGAAAAGGGTTGCCTTGCATTCATTTCCTTCGCTCAAGCACGTTACTTTGACCGTTTTATTAAGTTGTTTTCCTAGTGCATTTCAGGGGGCGACAGATAGATGGGTAACGTAGCTTTATGAAGAAATATATTAGAACTGACATGGGATAAATGAATTGTAAACTTTCTTTGTGAAACTAAGAGTGAGAAACGCGTTCATAATGAAGTTTGATTGCCAAAAGATGCCCATTTTGAAGTCTAATGGCTTTGATGACTGCAACACTATAAATGGTCCTGTTTTATCATTTCAGAAAAATCTTTTGGCTTTTGAAGTTTGATACATGTAAGCATATGAGTAGAAAAGCTTGTATATGCAAATCGCAGAGAAGTAATATTAGGAAAAGCTTACTTGGAAACACTTGATAGTATATTGAAGGTTATTCTTTTCCTTGGACTTCACTTTGGTTTTGTCTTGCAGGCGACAGATGGTAATCAAACTACCAAAACAAATAGCCTAGTCTGTTCTAAATGTGAGGGAAATGGTAAGTGGATAACTGGTAGATACTGTAACTTATGCTGAATATTGACTTGGGGCTTTAGAATGAAATCTCTGAAAGCATTCAAGCATACTATTTCCTCCTATATTTGTTGACTCTCTGGCATTATATATCTGAGAGGAGTTATAGGACTTAATCATCTATTTCTTTCACATCTAGCCAACTATGTGTTAATCAGATGATTAACTCAGAAACTAGACATATCTGATTGCAATGTGGTTCATCAAGATGGCAGCAAAAGATAAATAATAGGTCTTTTCACCCTTTTCCTAAATTATTCTTGTTGGAGGAAAGAACCTTTAAATGATGAAGCGTCACTGCTGGATACCTTCTTAGTTACCGGGGTCTTTCAGTCAATGATTTATATTTTATACTTAGGTTGAGTTTGGCTGGCTGTTTTCGAATTTTCAAATACCCATCTTTGCATGCTGCTTTCCTGTTATCGGCAAAAATAAGAGATTTAAAAATAAAATTAAAAAATTTTAAAAAAAAACTCATTCCTTTCCTCGGTTAACTTATGGGCTTGAGATTCAGGGATTGCATTGTCCATAGTCATGGCTTAGAAATTGGTTTTGAGGACACTTTTACTCAAGTTATTGTGATTTGTCAATGTTCTCCTGGACAATTTAATATGTTGCATATGCATTGCCAGCCTTTTCCTGCAAATCGTCTTTTTCAAGTTTTTTATTAGAAGATCTCTTCTCATTTGTTAGTATCAGCATCTGAAAATTTCATCTCACAATTTTTTTTTTTAATAATTCACCAACCAGGTGCTATATCATGTTCTCAATGCAAAGGTACTGGAGTTAATTCTGTAGACCACTTCAATGGACAGTTTAAAGCTGGTGGACTATGTTGGCTTTGCAGGTAGCCATGTTCATTCGTATCAACATCTATTTTATTTTCATAATTTCCATTCAGGGAAATTAGAGCTAATTTTCCTAATAAAGAGATCTTAAACGTCAAATGCTGCATGTTGTCCCTTCCCTTCATCGAAAATCCCTGCTTATAATTAGTCCTGCTTGCATTACACCCATCCTTCGATTGTCTGTCTTTCACCTTTTGAGGATTTTGTGCTAGTTCTTCTTATATATGCTTACCATCTGATACTAATAATTGTATGTTTTCTTGCAGGGGTAAAAGGGACATTTTGTGTGGAGAATGCAATGGTGCTGGGTTTTTGGGTGGCTTCATGAGCACACATGACTCCTAGAACGTTGCAACTTGCAAAGATATGCTGCTCAGTTTGTTGTTATAGTGAAATGTTGTACTTGGTAACCAAGTGGAGAACTTATTGCTTTGTTTAGACTTTTTTGTAATATTGGTTTTAGCACTGTTGGAAAAACAAGCCAAAATTTTATTGGGTCAGATATTTTGCCTGCACGTCTGGTTCCGATCTGTTGGTTACTGCATTTTGTTCTAATTACAATGAAGAAGAACCAAGGTTTTTTTTTTTTTTTTTTTGGTGTGGAAAAATTCTCAAGTGTTAAATAGTGGTGATAAAACCGTGTTGTGGTTATCCTTGGATAAAATTACAAGTAAAGCTCATCATTCATGGATTCTAATTTCTAAGCCAGTCATTGGAATTTGGGATGAATAAATAATAATAAATGGAACAAAGTTGGCTGGCTGATAGCAACCAAAAAAACAGATTTTAAAGATTAAAACGAAAACGCGCCAGGTAGGGGTCGAACCTACGACTTTCTGCTTAGGAAACAGACGCTCTATCCACTGAGCTACAGGCGCTCTTGTGTCCTTCATTATCACAAAAATATTCAAAAATAGACTTCCATGTCTGTTTGGTCACGTTATTTTGGAAAATTGTCAGCCACAGCCAGTAACCAAATATTAACCAATTACCAATAGAAACCTCAAAGAAACCTCAAGAATTTTTCCAAAGTAGAGAGAGCAATCAATGTGACCTGGGCAATTTCATTCAACTTGTCCTCACTGTTTGAATGTTCATAAAGTTCTTTTTTCTTTTTTATTTAATTAATTAATGAGAACATTGACTCGATGCATTTTGGAGACCGCGGGTCCTGCTGTGTTTTGTTTCTCTCAAAATTCAATCTTCGATAGAAACATCAAACTCACTCATGTACTATATTTACTTGTTATCAACAAACATCGAACTTCAATCACATAAATTATACAGCAGATCAAGAGGCAGAGACATGCAATAATGCATACATAGATGTTTGATTTGATGACAAAATATTTCAAGGGGCAGAGACACCATGGCATAGATTGTGGCCAAACCACACTCGGTTGGGCAAGAAAGTGTTAAAGTTAAACGAAACAGTGTTTGCATGTGGACCGTATATCTTGACGAACTCAGGTTTCCAACCGTCTGATCCATTCCTCAGAAGGTTCAGATAACAGATGTTACGCGTACATGGCCCGTTTATCTCGAACTTGTCGGAGGAGCACCTCTCAAACGTCCTTGAAGCTGGATTGTCAAGCCTCTTTGCATACACCTGCGCATTAACCAAATTAAACCAATAAAATGATCAATTAAGATTTAATGAATTACATGACCAACTTCTAATTACCTCATTGCCAAAAGCATCACCATAGGCGAGGCTGATTTGGTCTCTGGTGAAAGTGGTTGAAGAGCAGCTGGTTTTTATGATCACTGTATAAGGGCAGCTCCTCTTGGCCTGCAGACTAGTTTCGGGCTTGAAGCTGGTAGAAGAAGCAACATGCAAATGCAAAAAACCCATCAAGAAGAAAGCAAAAAGGACTGAAAACACAACTAGTTTTACCATATTTTCCTGCAATTTCTTTTGGTTCCAGAAATGAGATAATAACCAAGAGTATGGGTTGCATATATTTATACAAATATATTGTCCCCTGCAGTCTATGCAAAATGATAACTCTATGACAGTCTTTGGTTTGCTCACATTCTTGTTCCATACATGCCCCGGGAAGTGTTTGCCTTATAACTGCTCTTTACAAGTAAAAATCTGAGGGATGAAATAGTAATTTTTCAACTCATTCAACACTCCCAAAAGCTAGTATGCTGACTTAATGCGCATACTGAATCACTGACGCTCAACATATTCTTTTGATGTTATAGGTCGGTTTAGAGAGACTCTCAAAAGAATGGAATAGCACGTAGTGTTATTCACGTGTGAATAGTGTTACTCACGCAAGTTTTTCAGCGGTTAATTTAGCATAGAGAGTTTGGCGGGGCTAGGCCCGGGTCATTGTCTTCTCAACATTTAGGTTTGGACCCCAATCTTCCCAAGGGCAAAGACAACAGGGAGCTTCTACAATGAGGAGTTAAAGGGCAGAGACAACAGGGAGCTTCTACAATGAGGAGTTAAAGTGAGGAGACCGATCCGACCGTCAAAACATTTAAAATATTTAAGTCCCATGATTTCTTTATATTTGTTGATGGTGAGATTTGACCTCCTCAAATAACCTCCTCACTTTAAGTCCTCGTTATAGCCTTTCCGAGAGACAACATGAGGGTCTAAAAAAGTAAACGAACCAGAAGAGAACCATAGCACAAAATAAAGAAAACACTGGGCACTGGTTAAAATAAAAGCTTAGAAATAGATCAGTTGGAAATAAGCACTCCATAAATTAGGAGGGGTAAGCCAAATCTTATTTACATATTTCACAATTGTTTCTTTTCTTTTTAAGGACAATAACTGTAAATCCCACGCCTCCACAGACAGTTTTTAAGATGAGGCGTGTACCAATGGAAACACAAGATCACAACAGCAGTGGCAGCACACCATCATATCATGTGGCATCATGACAATATTAGACGCAGAATCTCTCCTGAATGTTTGAATGATTTCTCGGTTTCTTCCAAGCAATGGTTCTTCTCCTCCCTCGTCCAGCTCTGGTGATGCATAGATGTAAATAACACATCAAGCAAGGAAATACATACACGAAACTTCAATCAAGCAAAGAGATGCATACAAGAAAGTTTTTGCAAAAGAACAGCAGCTAGCTAACTCACCTGGGCAACTTTATTCAACTTCTCCCTTACATTCTGCAACAACTGGGGAAGTTCACCATCCCATTTATAGAATTCCAATTCCTTCTTGTCGAGTATCATTTCAGCCACCTGAAGTTGGGGAAAAATAAAACATTTGAGTTAAGAACTGGACCTCAGCTGCATTTTGAAAGAAAATCAAATGTTGTTTGAGCTCCCTGCTTGAACTAATCAGGTAAGGGGAAAGATTCACATATCTAGTATAGGGAATATCACTCATGCCCCTAAGTCAGAATTACCAATTAGATTAACTTGGTTCCTGCTACGCAAGTTTAGACTCTCAACCAGCTCAGGCACTGGAGCCAATGCAACATAGACCATGACATATTTGTATGAGAATGGACTCCGAGCATTATTTCTATACCTTTTTCCCAATCATTCGACCACCAGCTGAATGAGCAAAGTATATATTATAGAAGTGGCACAGAAATGCTTGAGGATCCTTCTCTGACAGTTCCTTAAGATATTCTGCATAGGTAACACCAGGAGCAGAAGGTTCTGGTATGACATGGCCTTGCTCCTTGAACCACTCCAAATCCTTTGCCAATTTTGCAGACCTTTCCAATCCAGTATTTCTGAACTCAGAATCTATAGCCAAAACCCATACAGCAACGGTACATTTTAGTTTAGTCATATTTACGGTAAATAAATACATGTAGCGTTACAAGCACTCAGATAAACAGACAGGACATCAGCAATACTTCCATTGATATGAAACCTTAGTTACCTCATTTCAATTTTCGTATTTGAAAACTCCCTAGACAAGTCCCACAATGTCATGATAATCAAGACTAAACAAGAATAAAACATGTCGCTAAACATGGAAAATCTGATGCAGTATCCTAACATAAAGGGAAAGCTTTATTTATAATGGTAAGACTCTGATGCAGTATCCTAACATAAAAGTTTTGTGAGAGATATACATATGCATGTGTAGAACTGGATCTCTTTGTTAGTGCAGCATCATTATGATAGCAGAAGTGGAGTGGGGATCGTACAACTCTAAAATCAAAGAAACATAAATGACCAATAACACCTAACCAACACATAGAAAAGCAATGCCTTGGTGCTATAAAATGCAAAATCACACACGCCCACAAGGCCAAAAATCATACCACATACAGCTAAAGTATAGCAAGATCATATAACACCAAGTACAGATATTCAAAATCAGAACTTTAAGAACAATAGCGAAAGGCAATATTGACAGTTAGTCAATCCACACCAAACAATAAAATCTCGAAGGATGCACACCCAAAAAAACCTTCAAACAAATACAAGAATAGGCACAAAGTTACATGACAAAAACCATTCAAAGAACCAAAATTTAAATGATCAAAAAATCACTCACAAGAAGGGAAAGGGGCCTTTTCAACAATCCCTTCAAGGGTATCATACACCAACTTGCTATCCACAAGGAACTTCAAATACCCATCAACGGTTGGTTCCCACTTAGCCACTGGTCTCTCCTGAGGCTCTTTGACCTCCTTCTCACCCTCCTTAGCTTGGTCCTTGGTGTGTAATTTCATGGCCACAAACCTCATCTCCTCCACAAACCCCTTTGACTCACCCGGGTATCTCTTCTTGGCCTTCTCCACCGTGGTGGCAGAAACAACCCCAGCAGCCTTCATGGGCACTCTGGTAGTCATCCTTGGGATCGAAACAGAAGATTTTTTAAGCAAGAAATCAGAGCCTAAATTGGGGCTGGTGAGAGACTTGGGTGGGCAACGGGTCTTGTTAAAAAGGGACTGGGATTGCGAAATTGGGGTTAAAGAAGCCATTTCCGAAAGTTCAAAGATTGAAACAAAGCGAGGAAGAGTGAGTGAGTGAGTTAAGTGTATGATAGCGAAGCGTGAACGGAACTTTTAGATTTAAGAAACAAGAAATAGTTTATGTGTTTGGCTTGAAACGGCGGTTCACGTCCTCTTCAAGCCAAAGCGATGGATAATATTACAAAAACAATTTTTTAATCAAACAATAAGTTAAGCAAAAAACAAATTGAAAATATTGAATTTGGTGCAGTGTGGGCTGGTGCGTGCGTGCGTATGGGTCTCTCTGTGTTTTGTTGCTATCGAAATTGAATATTGGATAGAAGGGTTGCTCTGTTTCTTGGTTTCTCTGTTTTAATGTTAATTTACTTCTTCTGGTTCTCAGTTCTGGATTAGTGGATAGAGAGAAGAGAGAGTTTCGTCGGGACAATTCCAATGCTGAGCTGGGTCGGTGGAGGTCATCCGACGTCGTTTTACCTTTTGCTTCACGGGGCAACCTGGTAATACGACTTGAAGTAGTTTGTGGCTTTGGGACCCTGCCGTGGGCAAGTGTGGAACAGTCTTTTGACTATCTTCTCTGTTCTTTTCAGCGTCAAAGACAACAGCATTAGGCCATCTCCAATGATTAGGATTCTAAAAATGGTTTATAGAGTCTCATTTAGAGCTTCGATAGAATCTTTGGGGTTCTAAATGAATCTCTCCTACAATAAGAGGCTCTATATTCATGGGGGGCTCTATATTTTTTATTATGTAATTTAATTTACGTGGGTTTTTTTTTTAGTTAACTATTTTACTTTAATGTTTATTCATGTTATGTTAGTTTTTTTTTTTTGTGTGAACATTTCAACAACAAAAAATCAAATTTTGGACCAAATTTGGAATAGAGCTGTTTAAAACAGCTTTGCAATTTTTGGTTCATGCATGTTGATCGTTGGAATAGAGCTGTTGAAACAATTGAATTTTGGTTCATGCATGTGGCCCAACATGCAATGAACATCCAAGTTTTCGGCATGTACAGTCGGCAGCCAGTGGGAATTCAAACAAAAATGGGCTGCAGCTTTTTTAATTGGTGGGTCCCACTGGGTTTCAAGGACTTCAATTAAACTCACACATTTAGTTACTATTCTAGTTGGGCTTTAAGTTTTAAAGCCCTAAATTTGCACTATTGGAGATGCATTTTTAGAGAGAGTTTGTATATATTGGAGCCTTGTGGTGGTTGAGCCCCAAATAGAGCCCTCATTGGGGATGGCCTTACTTTATGGACAATACTTCCCTTATTTTTCTCCAGGTAAGAAATTCTATATTTTTGTTAGTGAGAGTTTAGTAGTGTGTCTATAAATTTTTCTTTTTTATGTTTTATAATTTATTTTCGCACATGATGTGTCAAATTGTAATTTGCAAGAATGATGCGATATTAAGAAAACCAAACAAAAGCCAAGTTCCCTTATTTTACATATGATTTACAGCACTAATTATTTATGGAAATTTCTTGTATTGTTAAAAAGAGGCTAGGAAAACCGAATATAAATGAAAGTAGAAGACAAGTGGACATCAAAGTCGCTTTGGCCGAGTGGTTAAGGCGTGTGCCTGCTAAGTACATGGGGTTTCCCCGCGAGAGTTCGAATCTCTCAGGCGACGATTACTTTTTGGTTTAATTAGGCTTTTATTTTATTTTTGAAGTCTGGGTGGGCTCAGTCGTCTCATTTAATGGATAAATGGACCAATAAAGACCCATAGCGAAAGAACAGGGCCCTGACCAAATTCTCTTCATTAAGATACAATCCAAAGATGTCACATATATCACACATACAATTTTTTAATTTTATGTTCCACTATATCTTTACTTTTTTTGGCAATCCAAAGGTGTCACATATATCACACATGCACTTTTCTTATTTTATTACACATCATCCTTTTTCTTAGCCTTTTTTTAATACAAGCAATACTAATAGAGGAATTCGAACACAGGACCTCGGGTGCATGAATAACTGTTCTTACCCATTGAGTTACAAGGCCCTTGCTGCTCTTTTTTGGGTGACTAGTTAAATTTTGAGCACACTTTTCTAATCTCTCCTTGTGCACCAGTTTTCACCTCAATGCCACTCATTTTGATCATAGCTTTTGGGAATTCAAAGTCAAATCTAAATCCAAGCAACCCCCTTATGTTGCCAGCATAGTTTTGCATTATGTTGCGAGTTGAAGCATCACCCCAAAGCCTCTGGTCTGACTCCAGAACGGCATTGCCATCCCTCACATTCTTGAAGAAACACATCAAAATTAGTCTGGCTGCCTATATCTAACGACACCCGCTTAGAGCCATCTCCATCTTTGGGGCAAAGAGCTTGGAGTTGTGCTAGGAAGGCTTGGTTTATGGTCGGGTCAGAATTCCCAGTTGCTGTGAAATTGTAAAGACGGTATCTGATAAATGTGCAGTCTGTTTGACCAATAGTATGTGCCCCTGCATCCAATTTCCATAAATTTGTAGCTTAGTTTGGAGCTTTTTGTAATTATACATATAAATCATTATAGCCTTTGTGCTGAAAAAGAGAGCTTACCAACTAGAGTTACAAGATCATGATCGTCAAGGCCTTTAGCAGCAAACTTTTGCCTTTGGGCAGCAACAGAATCAAGAGGAGATGGTAAGTTTGATGCTTGAGATGACAAAGAGACCCTGCCATCTCTTCTTCCAGTGGGCACTGACCAACTTGGACCGTCACTCTGAAATTAATACAGCAAGAAATACATCATTAGAAACCAATTAAATTTAATTGAATCTATTATTTAGTGTGTATGCTAAACAGAGGGGTATGTTTTTACCAAGTCAACAGCATCACGAGCAGCCAGTGCAAGTATATCAGCACATGAGACAACTCCAGGACACAAGGCCTCTAGTTGTGCTTTTGCATCATCAATTACTTCAAATCCTCTCAACCCAAGATTTGGCAATGCATTTCTCTCCGCGGACGAGCCCGTAACCAAAACCGACCCATCACAACCCTGTGGAACATGAACACAAGCAAGAAGCATGAACATGTAACAAGCCAAATGGCCCAAACTAACAAAATATGAACAAAGAGTCGGTCACTCAGCAAAAGAAGAAAACGAAAACCTGAACAAAGCAGTCATGGAAATGGAGCCTAAGCAGGCCAGCTGCAATGGTAGGATCTTTGTTGAAGTATGATTCAACCGTGGACCTGATTGTGGCCTCAGCTTTTGGGCATGAAGAAGAGTAAAACCCAGTTTTCAGTTGACCTTGTACAGGCAAAATCATTACCAGAATGACAAGAAAAAAGGACCCTGTGGCTTTCATATCTGTTGTAATTGCTTCTTCACTCTTCACAAAAACATGCACGGATGCACCACTACTTTGTTTATAAATGGATTTGCTTGAGCCACTTTCTTTCCATCGCATTTTTGGCTTGTAACCCTTTTATTAGTGGAACGTGTGGGCCATATATGAGCTTTAGAGAAGATGGTAGATTTCACTCTACATGGATATTGTATTTGAATGTGAACTGTAATATAATGTGGTAGGCGCCCCTCTCTCTCACTCTCATCTTTGATTCTGCAACTTTATTCTTCCACGCGTTTTTCCCCTCTGTTGATGATGTTGTTTGTTTAAGTCCATTTCTTCTTTTTGCCTTTTAATTGTTCTCGTATTGGGGGTTCCCATTTGCTTTTATTTCCTATTTTTGCATCCAAAAGCTTGATCGTGTGCATGCAAATTAAAGTTTTATTTTCTCAATTAGTGCAGCACTTCAACTTAGTGCTTAAGTAAGTTGGTAGTGTTCATAATTCAAGTACAAAAACCTGCAATGCAACAGGCTTCCATTCCTAACAGTAGATATATATATATATATATATATATTATAGTTTGCGCAAACCCCTGATCGCATGAGAATGAATCTCTTGAGCTTTGAAGAGTTCAAAGTTCATCTTTTATGGAAATGCTCTGTAATGGCATCCATAAATCCGCAACAGGAAGATACTGAAAAGTACCAAATGCCTCTGTTCTAGCTGTGAGAACGAACGAACACCTAAGTTGCTATTTTCGGCAGCGATTTAGCGGTATCTTTCCAAATTTTTTGTTAAGAGTAAAAACAAGATATTGTCCGAAAAACTACGTTTGCAAAATATGGAGAACATTATTACTTCTATTAGGCCAAAGATTTTATTATAGAGAACTTAATTCTAATGAACTCATTCCAGCTACAGTTTTGCATTTTACCTGTGTTAGTATATAAAAGCAGGCATAGCAGATGCATGTAAGGTTTTTGGATAAACAGCAAAAACAAAACAAAAGGGGCCACATACTAGTCCCCATTTCAGTACCCACAACCTATCTAGCTACTTGGCAACTTGTTCCAGAACAGGGACTTTTTTCCATTCATCCTCTAATTCACTTATTTGCAGTGGCGGCAACGAAAAGACACTAACTGTAGAGCTTCCACTCCTAATTTCCTTCAAAGCCCGCAATGCCGATATAGTACTTTTCATGTACAAGCTTTCAATGAACTCGATCTCTGCTAGTCCCTTGTTTACTCTGGGAATGCCATCACTCTCGGTAGTGGTAGTGGCAGAAGTTGAAGGATCGCACCCTTCATCCCCATCAGATCCTTCATTTGGAATGGGCTGTTCAGTCATGGCAAAGAGCTGGTCAAGCGTAATCTCACACTCCTTCACGAGCTTGTAGAGCAAGTCGGTGGTGAAGAAAGGCTGTTGCAAGACCTTCTGAATGAAGGGCAAGCGCATAAGAGCACCAGTTCTTTTATCGTACTTCTTGAGTATCTTTACCAGTCCTGTTAAAAGAAATTAAATTGAGCTCTTTAAACCATGAAATATTTCTACACAACACAGTTTAGATCGTTCACTTAAACTTGTCAAACTCACACAATTTGTAGTTTAAAAGACCAAAGAATGTAAAGTTCCTATGACCATAATGAAAAGAATAAAAAAAAACAGAGGATAAGTCCTTGATGATGTGCAGGTGGGAGACCAAGTTCATGCAAAGCTCTTCATAAAGGCAGAACAAGATTGTCACCATACTCTTAACTACATATTGATACCACAGATAAAGGAGCTAATGTGAAGGTATTAATACCCAAGCGCGCACAAATCTTTACGTCTAAACATGTGCATTGAAATCATAAAGCCTTAATGCAAAACGTATCGATAACCTTTAACAACAAATAGTTTTCCGAGTCTTGATTGAACCCTTTCGCATTGGCAATGGCTTTATGAGGGTTTATCCTAATGCCTTCATGCACACGGAATGTCAAAATAAATATAAACATATGGAAACCCATAATGACAAGCTAGCATACTTTTCAGTCTTCAAGTTTGCTAAATTCCAAAGAAAGAAGTAAAAGAAAAAGATGAATACCTGTATAGTTGAGGGCACTATAATTCTCCAGCAAAACCATCTCTCCATGGAAGTCCACTATCTCCTTGCGAATCTTAGTAATCTCTTCATTGGAATGCTTTGCTTTTGCCACCCTGTCTTGTATCTCCTGCATTCCATACACATATAATACTATTCATTTCCTGCCACTGTATTATATGTATTTAAAATAAATAAATAAAATTGCGACTGCAGCAATGCATTATTAGTAACACAAGGCGCAAGTTGGCACTGAGTTTATTTACTGTACCAAACGGTGTGTTTGTTAACTAACGGAAAATACCGCAGCAAAAGCAACGACAGCCATACAAAGCGAGGTGCGAACCAGTTCAAAGTGACAGGTGGCAGCCAGCCTCCCGCACACATACTACGTGTGGTTCATAAAAGCAACGGCAAAGCCAAAATGACTAACGGTCTCGTAAAGAGAAACGTGGAAGAGAAGATAAACGATAATTAATTAGATGGCCTAAAGACTCTGTTTGGTTCCAGAGAAAGGAAACAGATGAATGCGAAAGAAAAGCTTGTGAAGGTTATTTTGAATTCTAGAACATAAAAGTTAGATGCTTTATGAAACTTGTATAATCTAAATTAAAAAATTTCTCAGGAACCAAACAACCATAGAAGAAAGAAAAAAGAAAAACTAGAACATGAGATTAGAAAAAGAATACCTTCAAGGTAATAATATATTCTTCCTCCTTTTCTACAAAGAAGGAGTTAAATTTCTCGAGCTCGTCCTCCAACAACTGAATGAAATTGATCTCCGCCGTGGACATGCCCTCCTTATCTCCGTGGGCGTCCGCACAATCAGCGGAGGCATCAATCCTGGGACGCTTGGTGGGCCTGTCACCGCCTTTGGGCTCGATGAGCTTCAGGCACTTCTTGAGCTCCTTGTAGGACAAGAACTTGTCCCGCCATTCCGGCAAGGTTTCCTCGATCTGGCTGCTCAGGCTCTTACCGAACTTCATCTCGAATTCGAAATCGTGTTTGTTCGGATAGAAAGGTAAAGTTTAGAGATTTTCTCGGGAAAATGGGAGAAAATACAAGGGAGTGGGAGTGGGTGCGGGTGCGGGGGGGGGAAAAGGGAGGGGGGAGGAGAGGGGAGGGAGGGGGATATAACGGTAGGGAGAGAATATTCGAAGGGTTAATGTTGGAATATCCTTTTGTTTTCGAAGAGTATATTACGGGTTTTATTCCCTTTTCTCAGTTCAAGTGCCCGTTTTGTGTGACTGTGTGAGCGACAGATAGAGGATTTTTTTTAATTTTGTTAGTTTTTTATTTATTTGGTTTTTAATTAAGCGACACTTGGAGCAATATTGATCTGGAGTGGCTCGAGGAGTGTAGCCGGGTTGGACAGACGGAGCGAGTGAGCTGAGTCGTTTTGTGGGGGAAAATGGATACAATTTGGTTTTGCTTTTCCCTTTTGGTTGCTTTTTCACTTGGGATAACAAAAAGTTAAGGGGAGGAAGAGGCTAGGGCTACCCCACACCCCCGGTCAGGGCAAATTCTATACTTTTTCGTAAATATTTACAATATAATTATCAATCAAACACGAAACTAGTGGATTCGAACATTGATGAGTGTAGAGATCTCATTATTGTCATTTCATAATTAGTAATGTTTGATTCATCAAATTTTTAACTAATAAATTTACTAATTAAATCTTTCATTAAACATACATGGTAATACTTTACTTTTTTTTTTTTTTTTTTTTTTGTTTTAACCCCCGGGGGGGTGTTTATACATGACCACATATACACAAACTTGTGTAATGGTGTTATTAGTTCTACATTTTCAATTCGAGCATTTTATCAAACAAAAGACTACATATATGACATCAAAATCCTTGATTAAAGAAAAAAGAAAAAAAAAACAAAAACTCAACACCCAGAATAGATTAAAAGAAAACCAACAAACTTCATTATTCCTTCTTAATATAAATACTTTACTTTTTTTAATAAAGAAAATTAATTTTGTATTTAATTATAGATCAATATGTCACATGAATAAAATTTAATAAATATATTGGATATTGAGATAAAAATAATTAAGTAAATAATCACAAGTCATAACCGTAACTCTCCCAAATAGACTAAGAATCATAGTGCCTTATATGTCTTGAATCATTAATTGTGTTTATCAAGTCTAATTACTGAAAATAAATTATGATGAAGGACCATAATATTTTGTACTCGTATATTCTAACAAAAGCTGATTATCTCAAGAGACCTTCAATCATTGATGAAAAAACCCAAGTTGGAGATTGACATAGCTTAGTTTGAAGGATAATTTGCCACGTCGTCAAAGAGATGGGGTAATTATATTATTTATTTATAAGAAGATATATATATATATTTTTAAATTTGTTCCTTAAAGAAGGAAAAGAAAAAGAAGCGAAAGAGAAAGGCCAAGCCCGGTAAGCCGAGCCAAAGTGAGGAGGGCTGTTGTTGTTGTTTGCTAATTTCTGACGCAACGGCAACGCATGGTATAATTCTGATTCGGAAGCATCCCTTATCTCTCAACGGACCCAAAGATTAACATACTGAAAATACACGTGGCTCTCTTGTACTATGCCAGCGTGTCATACACGACAACGCAAAGAAGATGTCCAAGTTCGTTCATTAAATTGTGAAACTATTTTATCTTGGAATTTTCGGCTTCACGGACAATATTCGGATCTATCTCTGGGATATTCTTCGCTTCCTCCACTCTTGAATTTTGGGCTTCAAGTCTGAGTCTTGGAGGTTGGAAATTTCGGATTCACGGACAAGTCTTGCTTGTTTTTTTTATGAGCTTTCCCTCTCTTTTTGGTGCGTAATGCATTGTTTCATCCTCCTCTCCTCTTCTTGCTTCTAGCATCATTCCTTCATTTCCTCCTCTTCAATCTAGCATCGAAGTTTTTGGACAATTCATGGGTTACATTCATAGCTTAAAAACTCATTTGAAATCTTACTAATAAAATCTATACAATCTATAAAAACACACTCTATCGAGTCTTAATCTCTATCAAGATAATTATCACCACAATAATTGCGTCTAACAACAAAAGACAAAACCATACTTAAAGTTATATAAATATCTAATACCACTACTAGAAAAGTACTAATTGTTTATAGTATCATAGATTATCACACTAGTGATTATGGAAACAACACATGTATAGCGGAAAGTTCAATTGTTAAATAATTTAGCACGTTATGTGACAAAATAACAGTCAGATAGCAACTTCACAACATAACATGCTAAACAATCTTGTGTGGAAAAGATTTTGATAAGAAAAAGAGATAACAGTTTTGATGTGATGTGTTGAGGAGGATGATAATATTTTCATATAACTATAGATTTAAAAATAAAAATTAAACCCAAAGGAAGGAAAATATAACCTTTGGGCATATTCTCATTTGGGTTCCTTTATGCTCTCCCATCCCATATGAGATATCACCCGCACTAGAAAGCCAGCGGTCTTTCCTATCCACCCCAAACTATAATGTATGAATCGTATATTTGATTGAGCTCAAAGTCCACACCAAACACATGCTTGGATTGGATCTTGGTTTGGTTATTGGGTGTTGGCCAAACCCTAACTCCTAATTATATTTTATGATCTCACATCAACTGTGGCATCTATCGAGAATATTTTTCAGGATATTCGTAATGGAAGATATTAACAACATTGTACTAAATTATTAACTAATTGAAAGGACTCGAAGAGGAGCTCTATGTTACGCTATAAAGTAGCTTATCAACGCCGGCCACGTGGAATAATGTTACGATAGTTGCTAGCTTCTCGTCCAACATGTGGTGGGTAACATATGCAGCTTTGTTGGTTCATTTGACGAAACAAAGGTCAGCCCTGGGTTCAAATACGGGCCTGCTACTAGCTGTTTAGGGTCAAAGCCCATATATTAATGTTTGACCAACCAATCTGAGCTATTGGCCAGTTGGGCTTTCAGGGTATGATTCTGTAGGCCTTTACCGACTCAATCACACGGACAACATTGTAAACAATATTTGCTGTCTGTACAGTGGTAGAATTCTATAGTGGGGTTTTTGGTGGTTGGACAAACAACAGCTATATACACAATAACACTTTCACGTGACATAGTATTATTGGTCCCCACGAAACGGAAACTTTTTCATGCAATGGTTGCGGTCATGTGGTACTATTAATTCATGGGTAATATATCATGCACTACATTAATAAATAAATACACATATTATGATAGGAATGGAATATAAAATTTCCCCCGTAAACACTTAAATTAAGACCCAGTATAAACTGTTAAATTGACAAGAACTACTCAGGCCACCTACCAAAGGAGAAAGACGAAATAGAGGAAATGATGACAAGAAGGCCGGGTTGATGAGAAAATAGAATATGATTATTATGACATTTGGAGGCTTGGATATTCTTTAAATCGGACCTACATAACATTCAAAAACACAATGCCGTTTGTGTAGGTCTATTTCCAAATAAGTGGACGACCTAACTTTTCCTGCAAATTCATTTCCCTAGTGCATGTGTATATGATTAGCTAGCAAATATCTAGAGGTTAACAGTTTTTGAAGAGACCAAATAACGACCAAATGAAATGTTTATATATAGCACTGTTTGCCACTGCCTAGTGTTTTTCTTTTCTTTCTGGAAACAATACCCTTGATTTTGCAAGAATTCAGCTATACGCACTAAATAATGCAGAGGAGGTCGGGGGAGAGACTTCTGAATACACCAAGTTTTTGAGAGAAGGCGGTGGTGGCGGTCCTCCGGCCGCGGCATCTAGTCAGCAAGTGCATATATCTTAGTATAAAAATTGTGGACTACTTTAAAGGACGTCTTTTAAATTATATATTTATTTATTGTCTATTCAAAAGAAGAAATTAAAACCCGTTAGTGGGTCAATTATTAAGCTACAATTATTGATTTCACACACTCTATTAGAAAATATAACACCCAAATTAATTTAGATGCACCCAATTTCGCATGGGTCTAATCAAACCTTTTAGAAATTTGACAACAAAAACAGAAAATCATACGTTTCAGAAAATGAAAAGAGACATACTTAGTCGCCATAGTCAACCCACTCGATCGTGTCCTTACATACAACAATTACGTGAAATTGTATTAGACACATCCGCTGTAATTAATATTATTACAACAATTTAATTACAATTTTACAATTTACATGGAGATCAAACACAGAAAAAGGTCAAATCATACGAAGTAGTACTAGTATCCATGGAGAGAGAACACACTGCACATGGGATATGCTCTCTCTCTCAATTCAAATTACAAGTCCCTCTATTTCGCAACTGTTTCACCATCGATCCTCCTCTTCATGAGTGAGTCTCTCTCATCTCATGATTATGTCCCCTTCCATGCTTGGGTTCAGGAAGCACATATTTAATTATATATCTAACCTATGTACCTAATACATCTTATTTAATTTCTCTGATTAAAAAGTATATTATATATATATATATTACATGGAGGGGCGTGCACCATGAGAGCACTAGAATTCTAATTTAGTCACCAATATGCCATTGATGAATCCGATGATATCTCTTAAGCCAATAAACAAGTAATTAAAACTAAGAACTACAGTGTGAAGATATATTATTTTTTTTCAAGGGTTATTAAGCATCACATTTCCCCTACTTGTTACAATTTTATATAATAATAACATACAGACGTCTGAATATGAAAATATATGTATATGTTCGGATATTAGAATATATATGTATATGTATGTATATAATACATGAAATTGGATCGATCTGTTATTGTCTAATAAGCTTCGTTTTGAGTCCCACTGAGTTCATGCAAGAGATATGCTCTGTTTGTGCCACGTAGCCCTTGAAAATCTTAAATATGAAACCTAACCCAATGGTTGAGGAATTTCAATCGGCTATTGAATGAGGGTAAAGCGACATGTTTGGAACTGGAATCTCCACCCCATATGCATATTTTAATCATACATCACCTCACTTTCGTAATCGTACGGCTCATGTGGACCATTCTATTTATAGCTCTTTAAACTGTGCGCTCATGCCCACTTCTACGTACCTTACCCTAGTAACTTAGCTAGGGCGTGCTTGGCACTGCTTGCAGGTCAAATCCAATGAAGTCTGGTCCCTGAAATTAGTTTAAAACTCACATTGTGACTCGACCACAGAATTGATCATCCGGGGCCTCTACTTCTTTAAGAGATTGACTGTGATTACACATTCGACCACCTTGATAATTTATAGGATTAACCAACACTAACAATTAATTAATGGAAAAAGGAAAATATATACAACTGACACACAATACGTACAGTTAGAACCTGCAGAGTAGTGGTCTCTTCTCAATTTGGTAAAATGTCAATTTCGAGGAAGAAGCTGAAAATAAGAAACCCCAACCCACAAAAATATTAAAATATGATATATATATATATATATATATATATATGGCAGAGAGAGAGAGAGAGAGGGTACAAATTACAATATATATCATGCTGATACATGAGATTGACCATACATATGGAGCCTGGAGAGAGAGAGAGGATACAAATTACAATATATGATGCTGATACATGAGATTGACCATACATACGGAGCCTAGAGAGAGAGAGAGAGGGTACAAATTACAATATATATCATGCTGATACATGAGATTGACCATATATATGGAGCCTAGAAAGACAGAGAGGAGTTAATAAGTTAGCCTCTAAAATCACTTCCCCATCATTTCAAGGCATCCATTGTATTTGTTACAAGTTCATCACAGTACACTTATCTATCGATGTCTTTATAGTCCCATGTGAAGTCCTTCCAAATAATTTTCCAGTCAACTTACGTGGAAATATATATATATATATAATGTATTTGGGTTCATGAGGAACGAGAGGTTGAAGAAGTTAATTTCATGCAATGAAATGAAATGTGTCCAATCGAATCGATCAGTTGATTTTTGTAAATTCAAGTGATCATGGAAAAGACGATTAATATGTTAACTAGCTAGCTAGCTAGCTGGAGATGGACATGATATTAACTATGAAGATGAAGATATATACACTGGCCATATTGTTATAATTTGCCCACCTAGTTTTGTAACATCCCACATTGATCAACAGAGAGGGGGTGATGTGCCTTATATGTACATGTTCGCTTTCATCTAGTACGAGACCTTTTTAGAGCTCACTGGCTTCGAAGTCATGAGAATTCCGAAGTTAAACGAATTGAGGCTATGCCACTGGGAAGTTGTTTGTGAGTTCCCAGAAATAAAACCGTGAGGGCAGAGAAAATGGCCCAAAGCGGACAATATCGTACTATGGCTGAGCCACGACATAACCGATCCCAGGATGTAACAAGTTTGCTATAGCCTATAACTTATATATGTAAAAATCATAATTACCATTTACATTCAATGATATATATAGGCAATTATTTGTCCAAATTCCCCAATAATAAGTCTGTAATATCTTTAATATTTGAGAGAGAGAGTAGCTGGTGGACAAGTCAAGCTCAAAATCGAAGAGAGGCAAGTTACAAATTATATGTATTGATGACAGGGTACTCTGTTACTGTATATATTGTAGTTGACGAAATTAATTACAAGGAGCAAATGCAGTACGTATAGTAAGCTTTTAGTTGGCCGACAGTGTACCTTTTCTACATTTCTATGTAAGCCTTTCCTTCTGTTAACTTTTCTGAGACCTCTCCATCCCCTTCTTTCATTCTTTACTTTCTCTATATATCCCTGTCCATCCTGTACCCTATCGTCTCTCTATCAATAGATCAGTCTTTCTCTCTCTCCCTCCCTTTTTCTCTCTCTCAAACAAACAAACAAAATGGTGCAATCAAAGAAGTTCAGAGGTGTCAGGCAGCGTCACTGGGGCTCTTGGGTCTCAGAAATTCGCCACCCCTTACTGTAAGCTATATATATATATATATTTATACATATGCTCAGATTATATTTATTTTCTTTCATTCTTATATAACTTCATCACTCTATATATATATGTCTACGTGTGATGATGAGGGCAGGAAGAGAAGGGTGTGGCTAGGCACATTTGAGACAGCTGAGGAGGCAGCCCGAGCCTACGATGAAGCAGCTGTTTTGATGAGTGGCCGAAATGCCAAAACCAATTTCCCAATTTCTACCACTCAAACTAATACTAATACTACTACTGCTGCTGCCGCCGCCATGGCCGTCGGATCAGACCCCAGAGGTAGTTCGAGCGACTTGGACCATTCGCTATCCGAGCCGAAGGGTTTATCAGAAATCTTACATGCCAAGCTCAGGAAATGCAGCAAGCTTCCATCTCCATCCATGACCTGCTTGAGGCTCGACAATGAGAGCTCTCACATTGGAGTCTGGCAAAAGCGAGCCGGTCAACGCTCTGATAATTCCAACTGGGTCATGACTGTTCAGCTTGGCAAGAAGAAGAACAGTAATAACACTAACGCTGCTGATGATCATGGCCAGAGTATTTCATCATCATCACCGTTGATAATGTCGACTTCTGAGTCATCAGCGTCAACGTCATCAGCGAGGGCGCCGGAACTCATAGCCGAGATGGATGAAGAAGAGAAAATTGCACTGCAGATGATAGAAGAGCTGCTTAACAGAAATTGTCCAAGTCCTAGTAATTCTTCATTTGGCATTCAACCAGGAGAGGAAAGCTTTTACTTGTAGTTCTACTAGTCTTAATTTTTTTTAATTACTAGCTATATATATATATTTATATATATTTATTTATATATATTGTCATATAGTATTTATATATACATATGTTTGTTTGGTCAAGGCTAGTGATTTCAACACTTCTTCAATTTCAGTGCAAATAAATTAGCAAAATAATCAGTTTAAAATGCAGGTAAAAGAGGAGTGACTACTATCCTTAGTTAAAATTAAGAAAGTACAATGTATACAAACCATCTATTTTTTAAGTTTATAATCATATATCATTCTTAAAAAAAATTAGACAAATTGGAAACTGCTTCGACATCTAATTGTATCATACAAAATTAATAATACAGTATTTTAAGAAAGTACTAAAATTTCAATAATTCAGTTGAGTAGTCAAATGATATCGGATTCAAGTGATTTTTTGTAGAGATGATTTTTGAATGAATATCCACAAAATAAATTGTTTGGATTAGTGAAATACAATACAGAATGAACCCTACAAGAGTATCCCTCAAATAAACTTATTTGACGGATCCTCCGTAGAAACTCACTATATATATACTAATATTAATTCGTCTTGTGTTTGGAAATAATTGTATTCCTTTGTTTTTGGTCGGGGAAATAATTCTGTTCCTAACAATGAAAAAGATGGATCATCAGAATTCTTTTGGTTTTTATATAATTAGTTTATTGAAAGGGTGCAAATGATAATTCCCACGTGATTGAGCTAGAATCATTGTGATTAGTCAAATTTGTTGATTTGTGCTTCTTCTTCTACGTACCATGAGGAATCATCTTGTGAAAATTGTTGTACGTAATTTAGTATGTATAAGGGTTTCTTTTGGGGATATTGATCTTCCTAAATTGTATTGTGACATCCCCTAATTCGTGGTAATTAACTCTGTTGCTATTCTTAAAATAAAACAACAAGAAAACTATTTTGCATGGACGTCACTGATCTACTTCTTTTTGGTTAAAGTCGAGGTTACTAAAATAAAGACCTCCTCTCTCTCTCTCTCTCTCTCTCTCTCTCTCTCTCTCTCTCATCTGAGAGTGATAAAAGTGATGGGGGTCGTGGTAACCGGTAAGCATATGTTCCAAAAGCCTTCCTCAGCCTCTCTCTGTAAACATCATTCGTTATTGGTCAATCTACATGTCGCAATTGATTAAGATAGAACTCTATCAATATTATTGTATAATGATCATCTAAGACATGTCTCCAACCGAATCATGAATTCAAACTCGCAGATATAGTCTGGTTTTTTTTTTTAGTGCGCCCCACACACATATATATTTTTGGATACGAAAAGGAAAAGCCCCACATATTATATATATATATATGTATGTATTTATACAATACGATTATCTAATGGGGTGTTAGTTGGATTGGTTAGGGTTTTGGTGTACTCCCAAGTGATTCGGTTCAATCCCCATGATACCTATACGTGTGGGTGAGTTTCCTCCCTCCCCTTCATAACTTTGGCAACAACAAAAAAATCTATACAAATCTTGCAAATTTTTTGATATTATAAAGGTAAACTAATAAAAATAAAAGAGTTAAACAAAGACTAATTAGACTTGACATAGTACGTAGTAGGTTGATATCATAAATAAATGTAGTCATCCAATTTCCTTTACATCTTTGAAGAAGCGGTCTTGTTTTGCCATTTAGGGTCCCCAGCTGGCCTCCACCGAAGTTTGAAAATGAACTCAAATCAATTAAGAAAATACTGTTGTCCCCCATTAAGGTTTTTTTCTAAACACCAATAAGAAAATAGGAAAATGCTAAGCATATTACGTTTATTTTGAAGCTGAAATGTTGTGGTGTCAATAATCAATAGGGGTCACTGTTGTTTGTTAGATATTTTGTCATCTCTTGCATCTCTGGCAAAGGGAATTGTTGGAAACAACAACGACAACAACAACAACAACGGCAGCAGCAATGTATTCCACATGCCTCGACAGAAGAGATGAGAAAGTGAGAGCAAAGCTTGTCTTAAATAATGAAAATCGATAAGAAAGGAGATGCGGTTTCTCACACACATACTATCAAGATGCTATAGAGATTTAAACCTAAGACTACTAGTCTGAAAATCAAAATCATTTTTCACTGTGCTACCCGTTGGCAAATTAAAAATAATGTTTTATTTTTGTGGGCCAAAGTTTGGAACGGGGGAGGGGGTGAGGTTTTTGCCAAATTAAAAATAAAAAATGAAAAGTTTTGGGCTGAAATAAAGAGAGACAGATAGATTGGCCCAACCAATAATAAATGACCCACAATTTGGGCCTAATTGGGCTTAATAGCAGGAGGTCCAAGCTAGTTATTTGATGTGGCAGACAATGATTGGACGCAAAAAGAGCAAAAAAGACTTTGCGGGTCCTACATGGGCCGACCTACCCTTCAACGGTAAACTACCATTCTTTCAGAAAGCGCGAAACTGAGTCACTGTTGTCGAGTTCAATCCGACTCATGGCTCCCCAAAAACCCTTTCTCTCTTCACTCTCACCGGTTCCAATGCAATCACACACAAATCCACATACCCAACTCGGCCCTATCATCCTTCTTAACTCGGTCCCAACTCGGCCACCATGCTCAAAGGCAAGCTCAAGCTCCCGGACAAGGCCAAGCGCGCCTTCCCGGACCGGCTGGGCAGCTTGGTCGCTGGATTCGAAGACAAAGAGGAGGAAAATCGAGGGTCCGATTTAGTGTTCGAGTCCGGTGAAGAGCTCGAGACGATTCATCCCAACGGGTATGGGTCGGGCGGAGAGAGTGAGAATGACCAAGATGACGAGGATTATGATGAGAAGGTGGATAGAGAATCCGATTTAAGGGTCAGGCCCAAACCTGAAAGAGAAGGGCCGGGTTCGGTCTCGGTGTTGGCAGCCATTGCGGCTGATGATAAAAGATCCGATCTTGAGTATGAGGTGAGAATCTGATGAGCGAAAGAAAAGAGCAAAAATTGTCAGTTTATTTATTTATGGAAGAGGGCAATTTAATTTTAGTGTGAATGTGATGCTGCATTTTGATTCTTGATGTAAATTATTGGTTTTCTTTGTTTATTTTTTGATTTGTTGTTTTAATTAGGGTTTGTTCTGGAGTTTAGTAGGTTTAGTTCTGTGTTTGTGTGTAATTACTGGGAATTTGTCACAAAGAAAAGGAAATTTTTTTGCAATGTGGTCGAAGGTGTAACCCTAGAAGAATCTTTATCAATGTGGAATTTGTTTGAGTTAAAACCAACAAACAAGACAATTTTGATAGTTTGTCGATCCTACATTTGCTCAGAAATCATATAGATCATCTTAGGCTTTGCAATTTGTTGATTTTATTCTTCTTTTTCATTTGTCCTGCTAATTTTCAGCTTTAAGCTTTTCATTTCTTCTTTTGCAATTAGCTTTCTCAGCCGGAGATAAATTTGGAAAAGTTGCAAAGAATTGCTAGTTCAGGGCTTCCAGATGGGGGAGGTTTGCGGGCAACTGCCTGGAAGGTACAGGACTACAGGTTACTTTGTTTCGTCACTAGCAGTTTCTGCAATGTAAATTACGTTACTGTTTTGAAGTACTTAAAGATTGTCCGTACTATTTATGCACACAGCTGCTCTTAGGTTATCTACCTCCTTCTCGTGATTTGTGGGAAAAAGAGCTGATAGAAAATCGACTAAAATATGCAAAGCTTAAAGAGGAGCTCCTCGTGAGTCCTGTAAGATGCTCCCCAAGTTGCATAGTGAACAAACTACACAGTAGCAATTTATTTGCAGAAATTTTCTTACAAAACAAAACAAATACATCAGGTGCATTACTCTGGTTAGTTTTTATTATGCGCTAATCAAAATCTTGAATCTAGACAGTCACAACTCACAAGGAAAAAGGTTGGTGCTTTGAGTTACTGCGACCATCCTGCTGACGGTGTTGTAGCTGGACCGCTGAAGCGACATGAAATTTCTGAGGAAGATCACCCTTTAAGCCTTGGTAAGGCTAGTGTTTGGCACCAATACTTTCAGGTAAGATTTCTTCTCACTATAAGGTTGTATCTTGGCTTTTTCTGTATAATTAGGTGACGCTAATCATTCTGCACATTTATTTATAGCATACAGAGATTGCAGAACAGATAGACCGTGATTTGCAACGCACACACCCAGATTTGAAATTCTTCTCAGGGGACTCATCATTCAGTAGGAAACACAGGGTATATGGTTCCCACGGAATAAACTATTTTTCATAATTTGGTCTCCTTGTTACTGACACTTTCCAAGCAGGATATATATCAAATTCACTGATTACTCTGGTCACCTTGTTGTGTTTGGCTCACTTGTCCAGCAAATAGATTAATTATCAGTGTCACTCACCAGATCTTTGCTGCATTTCTATTTTCAGGAATCAATGAGAAGCATTCTTCTCTTGTTTGCAAAACTAAATCCAGTGATCCGTTATGTGCAAGGCATGAATGAGGTCTTGGCACCAATATACTATGTCTTTAGCACTGACACCAATGAGCAAAATGCTGTAAGAGAGTTCCCTGGAAATCTTCATGTCTTTATATTAGATGTCTTTGGCTTATTATGTTTGATATAAAATGTATCTATTCAGGACCTTATCCTGCAAATACGTTGGAAGTTTAAAATTGAGTTGTGAAATGTTTTCTGTATTTACTTCGTTGGCCTCCATCTTCTTTTTATGTCTTAAAGGTTATACTTTCTTGTCCAAGTGTAAACAGAAATAAATCCATAAGATGGTTTCATTCTGCAGGCAAATGCAGAAGCAGATAGCTTTTCTTGTTTTGTTCGACTCTTGAGTGACTCAGTGGATCATTTTTGCGAACAACTGGATAACAGTG